CCCATCGCTGGACTCACGCCCTCCTCTCCCTCTGCAGGCCCAGCTGGTGGTTCTGTGCCTTCCCCTACAGTTTCCTCATCTTCGTCTACGACGAAATCCGCAAACTCATCCTGCGCAGGAACCCAGGGGGTGAGGCTGTGGGGTGGGCCTGGGGGGGCCCGGCGAGAGGAGCCTCCAGGGGGCGCTCATGCACCGGGCATCTCCCTCCATCACCTTCCGAAGGCTCCTCCCCCTTCTTCCTCTTCCCATCCCTCTTTCAGAGGGTGTCTGTGTGTCTGTCCTTTTCTTTGTCTTTGTCTTCACGTCGTGTGTACTGTCTCCCTCCCTCCCTCTGCCTGTCTCCATCTCTCACTCGCCTCTTTGTCTCTCCAGGTTGGGTGGAGAAAGAAACCTACTACTGACCTCAGCCCTGCCACGTCGCCACCCCCTCCCTGCCCCCAAGCCCAGGACGTCCCTTCCGGACCCCCCATTTTGTATTCTGGGGGAGGGGCCCTCTCTCCCTGTGGTCCCCCCTTGGCACCCCCTCGATCACCTCCCGCCCCTCCCTCTGGCTGGCTTCTCTCCCCCACGGCCCTGGCCTCCCTCCTCCCTCTTTTCTGTGTCTCTCTCCCCTCCTCAGCCCTCTCCCGCCTCCCCCAACCCCCTCCCTGGGCTCTTTTTTACTCCCCCTCAGCCACTCCCCACCCCCCAATGGCTGATGCCATCTCTGGTTCTGGACAATTATCAAATATATCAGTGGGGAGAGAGAAGCGGGCCTTGTGTTCTGCTTGCTTTCTGGCTGGGGCCCTGGGTGGGATGGAGTCCCCTCTCAGGGCTCACTGCTGGGTGACTCACTTGAGCCCACTTTAGCCTGACACCCACCAGCTTGTAGTCATGGAATCTCAGGGTCACAGGATCATTCACAGAAGTTAGAGGAAGAGCAGCTGGAATTGGCCAGGTGATGGGATTATGGGGTGAGGACAGGGAGATGGAGGGGACTCAGTCTTGGGATGGCAGAGGTGGTGGGCCTTGTGTTGGGATAGGACCCTAGGAGACCATGATGTGATGATGAGGATGATTGTAATTCACTGACACCCCTTCTAAGCATTTCTGAGTGTCTTAGCTCATTTAATATTCACAAGGTATGAGGCACAGAGAGGGAAAGCAATTTGCTTGCGGTCACACACCTAGGAGGCAACACATCTGGAATCTGAAGGGAGGCCATGGCAGCTCTATGCTAATCTGTACTGAGATCACCTTTCATACAGTAAAGCGCACAAATCTTAAGGTTACAGGTCAGTGATTTTAAAATTATGTCCGTGCAATCATCGCCCCAACTGAGGTGTAGAAAGAACATTTCCATCCACTTAGAAAGTTCCTTCATGCCTCTTTCCAGTCCACCCCCTCCAGACGCAACTGCTTATCTGATTCCATTGCCAAGTTGTGGCCAGGAGCTGAGAGCCCCTGGGAGTGTGCACTCGCCCCGCACAGACAACATCTGAAGGAGAAGCTCTGGAACAGAGTGAGGAGGCAGCAGGAGCACGGGGGCCATGTGGTCCAGGACAGAGCCTGGCTCTGGGAGCAGGGGAGCTACATAAGCCTGGACCTCTCCTGGGACCCCTTACAGATGGCTTTACTGATCCATTGAGGGAAGATGCACTCCGAGGCCCAGAGAGGGGTCACAGAGCAGGGTCCATCACCCAGGTTTCTGGCTGCCTGTGCTAACTAAGATCTTCCTGCCCTCTCAGCTCCACTTCCTCAGAATCCAGGAGGCAGGAAGGAAACCTCAAGCTGAAGGAGCCTCAGGGTCAGGGCACTCTTCATCTCCCAGCACCTGCTACTTCAGTCAATCTGCCATAGGTCCCTTTCCCAAGGACCCCAAATTCCCATCCCTTACAATGTCTCAGCCTTAGGGTCCTCTCTTCCACCCTGTTTCAAAGGGCTCCTTTCCTGAATGTTCCTTTTTTTTTTTTTTGGTACCAGGTATTGAACTCCCAGCTCTTAACCCCTGAGCCACATCCCCAGCCCCCCTTTTTTTAATATATTTTATTTTGAGACAGGATCTTGCTAAATTGCTTAGGGCCAAAGTTGCTGAGGCTGGCTTTGAACTTGGGATCCTCCTGCTTTGGCCTCCCCAGCTGCTGGGATTCCAGGCATGTGCCACCATGCCTGGCTTCCAAATGTTCCTGTGTCCAGGCCCCAATTCCCAAAATTACCTTATCCCAAGAGCCTCCCCCCACAACACCCCTCTCTCTCTGGAGCCCGCCATCCGCCTCTCCTGCAGCCCCATCTCTGGCCGTGGCCGAACAATTTGGCAGCTCAAAGCCTTACAGCAAGTATGTCCTCTGCATGGAGCAAGAACCAGTGGGTTACGGAATGAGGGGCTTTCACTCCACTCACATAAGGAAATTCAGCAGCTTCCACAACAAAAATAAAACTCAGATTTTCCCAGACTGGCATGGGAAGAGGCAGCTGGGCATTTACCACCAACCTAGTTCCCAAGATTCCTCGGCCCCCTGGAAGCTCTGTGCCCTCCCACCAACATTAATGCTCAGGCCAATTGTACATTCACAGTCCTCCACTGAATTCTGAAGCAAGGCTGGACCAAGTTGGAAAATCTAAACCAAATTTACTGACAGCCTCTGGACAACAAAGAGACCCACCAATAATCAGTTACTGGCCAGTATTTAGCCAATCGGGTCTTCAAAGCATAGTTCTTTCAGCTTCATCTTGGGACCCAACCAATAAGGGGGCCTCTTGGCCCATCCCAGCAGCCCCTTTGACAGGGACTACCTTCCTTAGCCCCAGGAATGCCTCCCAGCAGGCCTCAAAGTACAAAGGGATGTGAACCTTGGAAGGCAAGAGTTAGGGGGCAGAGATTCATCTGGATCCCCACATGGGTACTGCTGAATAACCCCACCAGGCTTTGGAAAATTAAGATCTCAGCCTACTAGAGAGCCCAGGCTTCCCCACCCACTTTTCTTAAGGCCCACCCCTCTTCCCACAGATCATTCAGGCAGGCCATGGAGGAAATTGTTTAAAGACAGAATATAGCCCCTGTTTGCAACACAAGCTATTCTTGTGTCTAAGGGAGAGCAGCCCCTAACATGTTACTACTGTTCAAGGAGGCTGAACTATAGAAAAACCCAGAATACTCACGATAATATAGTGGTAATTACAATGTCTACATTTACTGAACAGCATCATGATTCTTTCAAGAACCATCTAATTGAAGCATCATAACCCCATGAGTGTAGTATCATTAGGATCCCCTAGTCCAGATAAGACGTTGAGGTTCAGAGAGGTGACTAGGTCAAAGCCACAAAGCCTGGATTTTCTCCTGAGTCTGACTCCATAATTCTAGCTTCCTCTTTAAAAATTCACAGAATCAGGCTTAGAATCTGTGCTATGCCTCCTCAAACAGTAGTAACACGTTTGGTGCTACTCTCCCTTGGACACAAGAATGGCTTGTGTTGCAAGCAGGGGCTATGTTCTGGCTTTAAACAATTTCCTCCATGGCCTGCCTGAATGATCTGTGGGAAGAGGGGTGGGGTCTCAAGGAAAGTGGGCGGGAAAACCTGGGCTCTCTACTAGGCTGAGGTCTTTAATTCTCCAAAGCCGGGTGGGGCCATGCAGCAGTACCCACGTGGGGATCCAGATGAATCTTTGCACACTAACTCAGTAGTAGAGCTCTTTCCTAGCATGTGTGAAGCCCTGGGTTCAATCCTCAACACTGCAAAAAATACAAATCCTCAGGGCTGGGGTTGTGGCTCAGTGGTCCAGCGCTTGCCTAGCATGTGTGAGGTACTGGGTTCAATTACCAGCACCACATAAAAATAAATTATTAAATAAAGATATTGTATCTATCTACAACTAAAAGTATTTTTAAAAAAATAAAATAAAAATCCTCAGCCCTTTTATTTTCCCAACTTTCCTCCCTTTTCTCCTATCTCATATTTCCCCAGAAGTCCAAAGATGGGAGAGTGCTATGCTTCAGAAATCATAACATCTGCCTGTTAAGGAAGGAATTGATTCCTACATTTACTCTATAATCTTGCTTCTAAAAACTGTGGTCCATGGGGCTGGGGATGTGGCTCAAGTGGTAATGCGCTCTCCTGGCATGCATGCGGCCCAGGTTCCATCCTCAGCACCACATACAAACAAAGATGTTGTGTCTGCCAAAAACTAAAAAATAAATATTAAAAAAAAATTCTCTCTCTCTTTAAAAAAAAAAAATGTGGTCCATGAGCCAGGCTGGTGGCACATTCCTATAATCCCAGCAACTCTGAAGGCTGAGGCAAGAGATTGCAAGTTTGAGGCCAGCCTCAGCAATTTAGTGAGACCCTGTCTCAAATTTTTAAAATAAATAAGTAAATAAATAATAAAAATGCAAATGAATGAACGCCACCCTAGACTTGCCGAATCAGAACATCTGAGGCTGCAACCGGGAAGCAGGGTTTTACCAAACCCTCCAGATGTTTTCTTCTTGTTCTTGTTCTTTGGTACCGAGGATTAAACCCAAGGTCGCTTAACCATTAAGCCATTCCTTCCACACACACACACACACACACACACACTGCTTTTATTTTAATGTTTTTATATTGAGACAGAGTCTTGCTAAGTCCTTAGGGTCTCACTAATAGTATTACTCAGGTAAGTCTCGAATTTACAATCCTCTTGCCTCAGCCTTCGCAGTCACTGGGATTACGGCGTGCACCACCGCGTCCCGCTCCAGATGTTTTTTATGCCCTTTAGAGTCCGAACGACACTATGCACTGTCCCCATTATACCCTCCAAGGACGAAGGAGTACACAACGCCTACTTCCGCCATTTGAGCTCCCATGACGCCCTCGTGGAAAATACATTCCACTCCAGAAACTACAACTCCCACAATGCCAAGAGGCGCTCACCGCATTCTGAAACTACATCTCCCAAACGGTCTTGCGAGTCAGCCCGGCACCATAGCATCCGTCCTGCCTGATGCCGCTAGGACTACAACTCCCACAATGCTCGGCGGCGCAACTACCGCACTCTGCGGCTCCGAGCCGCGACACGTCGGCTCCGCAGGGTGAGGCCGGGCTCGGGCGGGGCCCAAGGGGTCTGCAGGGCTCGGGGCTGGTTACAGCAGCTGTACCCCTTCACGACGCAGACATGGCGGGCCAGAAGGACCAGCAGAAGGATGGCGAGGCGGAAGGGCTGAGCGCCACGTGAGCGAGCTGTCTCCCCTAACCCGAGCCGCGGGAGTCCCGGACCCCAGACCCAAAAGAGGGTCCCTTATCTCCTCTTCAGGGACCCTGGATCTAGGCCCCCAGCGCCCTCCTCCCCTGGGATCCAGGAGACTTGGCCCCTTCCGGGACACTTGCCTCTTGGACTCCGGAGTCCAGACCCCCTACCCCCTTGTTGGCCACGGGTCTGAACTCCCAGCCCGGTCAGCCGCTGACCTGACCCCGCCCCACAGGATCCTGCTGCCAAAGCTGATTCCCTCTGGCGCCGGCCGTGAGTGGCTGGAGCGGCGCCGAACGACCATCCGGCCCTGGGGCACCTTCGTGGACCAGCAGCGCTTCTCGCGACCCCGCAACCTGGGTGAGCTGTGCCAGCGCCTGATACGCAATGTCGAGTACTACCAGAGCAACTACGTGTTCGTGTTCCTGGGCCTCATCCTGTACTGCGTGTGAGTGCCTCCCTAGGCCCGCCCCCCACCGGCTGGTCCCATTGTCAGACCTGGTCACCAAATGCCAGGTCTGTACTCCCCCATCGATCTGGCCAGGGTGCAGTGTGACCATATGTGATCCTGCCTTCTTGTCCTCAAGACATAACCTTCACCGACTGGTTCAAAGCCATGGCCCCCTGGCAAGCAAAACCCCAGAGGCCTGAATGCTGCTTCCCTACGCTCTTCTTCCAGGATGACATCCCCCATGCTGCTGGTGGCCCTGGCTGTCTTCTTTGGAGCCTGTTACATTCTCTACCTGCGTACACTGCAGTCCAAGCTTGTGCTCTTTGGTGAGAAATCCCCAGCCCAGATGGATCCCTCAAATTCTGGGTTGAGAATCCCAACCAAATCCTTGGAACCCAAGTCTTCCCCAGCCTTGGTGTACTCTAGTTCCACAAAACCTAATACTTAAAACGTCAAGCACACCCAGTGCGCCCACCCCAAACCCAGAGATACCCCAGAAACACCACCCACCACCCAGTTCCTACATTTGTGGAAAGCATCAACTGCAAGGACCTACATTGGACACCAGGTGGCGACCTTATACAGGCGTAGATCTTTTCCCTCTCACTTTTTTTTTTTTTTCCTCTTTCTTTCTCTTTTTGGCGGTAGGGATTGAAACTCAGGAGCACTCCACTGCTGAGCCACATCCCTAGCCCTATTTTGTATTTTATTTAGAGGCAGGGTCTCACTGAGTTGCTTAGCATCTTGCCTTTGCTGAGGCTGGCTTTGAACTCATGATCCTTCTGCCTCAGCCTCCCAAGGCTCTGGGATCACAGGCATGAGCCACCCTACCGGCTCCCTCTCCTTTCTTGCTTCCTGGGGTGGGACCTAGAGGGGGAGACTGAGGCCTATGGCTCATGTAGCCCCAGACTGATACCAAGCAACATTGGGAAGAAAGATGCCAGGGGAAATTCCACACAGGGGAAAGTCCAGGTTTCTGTGGGGATGTGACAACAGTGGGCTGGGGGTGCAGGGCATGGAAGGAAAAGCACTGCCACAACTTGGCTTGTCAGTTGCTGTCATGGGAACATGCAGACCTGACTTTGTAGTCATATCAGAAGCCAGAAATCTGTTATTTTATGTGAAATCATTCAGTGTATTCTTGTGAAACATCTCAAAGAACACATCCTCAGGTCAGACTAGGACCTGGGGCCACCAGTTGGAGACTCCTTGTCTCTGTGAGTGGAGGCTGGAGTGGGAGGCTAGAGGCTCCTGAGGAGGCAGGGCTGAAGAGCAGAGACTGCTGTATGCTGGTGGTCAGGGGATACCGGAAAAACTAGGCAGGGCCCAGACACTGATGGCCTCGGCATAAGGAGTTTGGATTGGTTCCTGAAGCTTCTGGAACTTGTTATGCTAGATTGTCAGGGGGCAGCAGAGGTTACTGTGGGAGAGGGCATGGGTTAGAACAGCTGCTTAATGACATCTGTCCCCAGGCCGAGAGGTGAGCCCTGCTCATCAGTACGCTCTGGCTGGAGGAGTCTCCTTCCCCTTCTTCTGGCTGGCCGGTGCAGGCTCCGCTGTTTTCTGGGTCCTGGGTAAGTATAGGGTCTGGATGGCTGTGGGTGGGCCATGGGGCCGGCCAGGGAAGGTGGCCCTGAACTGCCCATTTCCCTGCAGGAGCCACCCTGGTGGTCATTGGCTTCCATGCTGCCTTCCACCAGATCGAGGCTGTGGACGGGGAGGAGCTGCAGATGGAGCCAGTGTGAGGTGTCTTCAAGGCCTTATGGCCTTCAGGGCCAGCTGACCCATCCCTGTCCATCCCTGTCCCACACTGTCCTGCTGCTTGGGCCAAGGCTGCCTCCCAGGGAGGGGTTCCACCGTTAGAAATAAAGCCGTTGCAGTCCTCATCCAGCAGACATTTCCCAGTGTCTTCTGTGAGTCTCCAGAGGCTGGTGCTGGGAATAGCGCAGAAAGCAAGATGGGGGCCCAGGTGTGGGGGGCACAGCGAGCAAGGTGTAGAGGGACAGGATGTCACAGGGTGGTAAGTGCTAAAGGGAAGAGAGGAGCTGAGAAGGAAGGCTGTCCGGGGTTCCCGAGATCACCCCTGGTTCAGTGATGTGCTAGGACGACTCGGGAATCAGCACATAACTGTCCTCAGAACTGTGACTTATCAAGAAAGCACACAAAGCAAAGTCATTAAGAGGAGAAGGCACGTGGAGCAAGTTAAGAGCAAACAGGGCAGGAGCCTCCCAGGTCTCTCGGGTGGCCACACAGGGCAGGCTGAATTCCTCCTCCAGCATCGAATGGTGACGACGCGTGAGATGTCAACCGCAAGCCAACTGAGACTCAGTGTCTGATTGTTATTGGGGGTGTCCACATCAGCACCCTCTGTGCCCCCACTCCAGGATTGCAGAAGGACTATCACGGCACAGTCTAGACAGCGAGCCATACTCAGGGACTGAGGAGCCCTCCTGAAATCCAGGTTCCCAGACACCAGCCACGGGCCAGCTGGACAGCTGGCAGAACTGCTCAAGGACAGCAGCCTCAGCCACATGTTAATTCTCTACTGCAGAGAAAGTTCTGAAGTTAGTGCAAGTTAAGGGTTAAAGAGGTTGGCCAGAGAAGGCCTCCCTAGGTGACCGTGGGTGAAGACCTAAACTGAGTGGAGGAGCAGTCGCGGATCTTTTCAACAAAGACTGTTCTGGGCAAAGGAGGCAGTAGATGCAAGAGCCCAGGCCAGCAGCACACCGGAGGTCAGAGGAGCCTGGAAAAGGCTGTGGGCTGGAGCCCATGCAGCGGGGAGGCTTGGGGGCTCCAACTCAGACTCAGGAAGCTTTTTGTGAAAATCTCAAAGGACACATCCTCAGCAGATGGCTTTTCATTGTAACACGCGGACTCCACCACGTGGGAACGCTATCAAGGGAGAAAGGCACTTGGTCAGGAAGGGGCAGGTGTATAAAGTCAGGAAATGAAGACCGGGGAGAGGCCTGGGGGCTGGGAGCAGAGCTCAGTGGTGGAGCGCTTGCCTGGTGAGTGTGAGGCCCTGGGTTCCGTCCCCAGCACCCCAAAACAATAAATAAGGAGAGAGCCCTCTAGACGGCCAACCTGGGGCCTGGGGGCTGTCTTTGAGGCAGTGGCATGTTTGTGAGCCCCATGGAACACAGTCAAGTGCATGGAGAGTTGTGGTGGAGTCTCCAAGGCTTGGTAATGTGGCCCTCAGCCTCTTCAACCTGGGGCCCATCACCCAAACTCACTGTGTCATTTGTCTAGGATCCACAGCAGGAGGGGACCTTCGTTGCTCTGGAATCCAGCTGTCAGGTAGGCCACCAGGCGTGTGTGGACTGTGCTCAGTGCACCAGGGCACAGCTGGTGCAAACAAACCCAAAGTGTCAAACAGAACCCCAGATTTCAGAGACTTGGTGTGTAAAGGTTGTAAAATTTCTCATTAATCATTTTTACATTGATCATGTGTGTTGGAAGGATACTATTTTGGATACATTGGGTTAAATTATTATTTTAACTTGTTTTTTACTTTATTACTTTTGTTAAAATTTTTTTCAGTTGTAGTTGGACACACAATAACTTTATTTTTGTGTGGTGCTGAGGATCAAACCCAGTGCCTTACACGTGCGAGGCCAGCGCTCTACCACTGAGCTATAGCCCCAGCCCTGCTTTATTACTTTTAAAAATGTGAGCCAGGTACAGGGACACACACCTTTAATCCAGCTGCTCCTGAGGCTGAGGCAGGAGGATTGCAAGTTTGAGACGAGCCTCAGCAACATAGCAAAACCCTGTCTCAATAAAACATAAGAAGAACTAGGGGTGGAGCTCAGTGGTAGAGTGCCCCTGGGTTCAACCCCCATTACCAAAAATAAATAAAATGAAAATGTGACCACATAGAGAATGGCACGTCATATCCATGGCTTGGATTTATCCGTTTCTACTAGGTGCTGGGCAGGCCGCAGTGCCACAAGCAAGGCCCAGCCTTCCCAGAGCTCCCCTTTGGTGTGAGAGGCACATGATACACAAGCAAACTGGCCAACCACCGGGAGCCCTCAGAGAGGGACAGCTCAGAAGCCAATCAGATGAGGCTGGCAGAGACTAGAGAGTAGCTGAGGGGAGGAAAGAGCAGGGCAGGACCTTGCTGGGGAATGAGCAGCAGCTTGTCCCTCTGCGGTCTGGGGGGACAGTAAGTACAAAGGCCTTGAAGTCAGATTTGCTCAATAACATGGTGCTGCTTGTGGCTGGGGTGAAGGGAGTGAAGGGAACAGCTTAGGAAATTACATTGGGAGGATATTGGGGATCAGATGGCACAGGACCAGCAGAAATGGATGAGGTCTTTGGATTCTTGTTTAAGGTAAAGTGAGACCACAGAAGACTTTCGAACAAGGAAGAGACAGAAACATTAGAAATATCCTGCTGTGTTAGGTACTGTGCCATCTTACACCTGTAAACCCAGGAAATCCAGAGGCTGAGGCAAGAGAATCACAAGTTCAAGGCCAGCCTCAGCAAATTAGCAAGGTCCTGTCTCAAACACTAATAATGGCTGGGGTGTGTGGCTCAGTGATAGGGCACCCCTGGTTTCAATCCCTGGTACTGAGAAAATTAAAATAAAATAAAAAGGAAAAGAAAAGAAATCTCTCTGGGGCAGATACAGAGGCACACACTGTAATCCCAGTGACTAGGGGGTAGGGGCTAAGGCAGGAGGTCACAAGTTCAAAACCAGCCTAGGAAACTTAGCAAGACCCTGTCTCAAAATAAAATTCTAAAAAAGGGCTCAGGATGTAGCTCAGTGATAGACTGAACCTGGGTACGATCCGATCCCAGTGCCATGAATAAGAGAAAAAGGGGAAGGGAAGGAAGATGTGTGGGTGGGAAGGAGGGAGATCCCGGACAAGGATCCAACCTGGGGAAGGGGTGTGGGCTGGAGAGTAGAGACAAGGAAGACAGAAGACAGAATCAAAAGGTGGATGGCCCTTGGTGGGGGAGCTGTGTGGGAGCTAAGGGGTGGTGGCAGGCAAGGATGACCCCACTGTTCAGGCCTGAACATAGTGGGAAGACCAGAGCCTAGACAGCCATTGTGGGCGCTCTTCCAGAAGCTGCCACCAGAGGGCAGACAAGTGCTGCCTGCAGACTAGGGAGGGAGCCAGAGTGTCTGGGGCCCACTGAGTTCCTGAGACCAGGGCAGGTGGGGACCTGGGGAGGTGTAAGGCTGTCAGGTCATCTGGGTCACTCTGAGGCCAGAGTCACTGTCCCAATTTTGGGGGTAGCAAAGGGTGTTTTGTTTGTTGGCCTCAATGCCAGTGTTCCCAGGAGAGATGGAGTCTCTGTGCCCATGTGGGTGTGTGGATGCCATGTCCAGGCCCAGAGTGAATCTGACCCACTTTCCTTGTTTGCAGATGATGAGGGCAGGGGCTCAGCGCTTGATACACATCATTGAGGCAGTGGTCAGCAGGCCAGGGCTGAGGGCCAGGCCAGAGGCCTGATCTGGGGGCTAACATTACACGCCCCTAATTCTAGTGTTGAGTCCCTGAGGTTTGGCTTAGAGTGACAAACTAGAGGGTTTGGTGTCTCATCAGGGGGACAGAAACCGAAAGTCTGATTGTCTATTTTGGGGACAGTGATTGAGGTCCAGCTTGCTGGCTAGGAGTGACAGATCAGGGATCTGGTTGCCTTGTTTAGAGTGACAGCCCTGTTTCTGGTTGGGGTAATAGAAATGAATTGTCACTTTTAGGTGACAAGATACCAATAGTCAGGAGACAGAGACTGGAATTCCTGGGGCCTGAGTGTCTAGAAGGCATATTTGGGATGATGACACTGAGCTGGAACTCTAGTTTTGGATGGAGGTGACCCGTATTTGTTATCCCGAGGCAACAGAGGCAGGTTAGGAGCAGCTGCAGGTCTAGTTGTCTGTTACAGCCTGGGGGTCCCACTATGTAACAAAGACTGGGACAACACAGACTGAGGAGGGATCTCACTGCGTAGTGCAAAGTGACTGTAACTGGAGCAGCACATATTGTAATTTGGGGAATGTTTGCTCACCTAGTTTGGGTTAAAGATACAGTGAGTCCAGTTATCAATTTTATTATTACTATTATTATTATTGAACTGGACCCAGGGGTTCTTAATCACTGAGCTACATCACAGCCCTTTTTTAATTTTTATTTTGAGACAGTCTCACTAAATTGCTTAGAGCCTCACTGTCGCGTTCCAGGACTAAACACTCAGGGTCACTCCAGGTGAACTGGGCTGCACGAAACAATCACACAGAGACAGAGATACCTTTTTCTTTGGGTCCTATGATGGCGCCTCTGAGGTCTATGGAAAGAGAGAGAGCAAGGAGCACGTCCTGAACCCTTTTATTGGGGAGAAGGCAAGGGGTCAGGTTTCAGGGGTTGAGTCTAGCTTAGTGATGTCTGCTGTCAAGAGATTGACTGACATCTAGGGAGGCCACGCCCATCTCATGAGCTGTGTGGGGTCATGGCAGGGCAAGTGAAAAGATCAGAGCGAGGCCTCCAAAACAGAAGGGCAACGTGGGTTCAGTCCATCCTGTGCGCTCAGTGCCCATAGTTCACACACACAGCCCATGGCTGGCTTGCCACATGTCCACATTCTCATTGCTCAAGGCTAAGGGGCACTCGGTTCTTAAGTGACAGCTCCCGACACCTCACTAAGTTAAGGCTGGCCTTGAATTTAACAATCCTCCTGTCAGCCTCCCAAGTCACTGGGATTACAGGCAAGCATACCATACCTGGCTCAGTTCTCAAATGACAGTTTAGGAACTCTTGTCTGATTTAGAGGGACAGGAACTTGAGTTGTTTGAGATGTCAGTGACTTGGATTCCTGTGTAGGTTGGGGTGATGGGCTGAGATCCACAGGTACACTTTGGGGTGGTAGACTGGGGTCTGACT